ACAGGGATCGAACCCGGAACCTTCTTGCTGTGAGGCATGAGTGCTACCGTATCTGTGGAAATGTCTCATGTATTTTCCAACAGCTTTATAAATCTGCCCCCTCACCAAATCTTCATCCAACAAGGTCAACAAAGAACATATTCTGTCCATGAAGAATTTATCCACAACTATTCAAGGTAAGAAAGACGAAGAAAACGTAAAAGCGAAAAACGACGACGTATTAGTGAACTACTCCTGAGCAAAATTAATGTCATGGTCATGAATAAAACATAAGTAACTTGTGAACTCAGACTGATTCTAAAATTAAAATTAAAAATCGATTTCATGATGTAGATATAAGCATAGAGAGATTTGTGCAATTCAAATGCTACAGATGTTCACAGATTACAAGTCTCGCATTTAAACTGCACAAATCTCTCTGTCTATGCAAATATCAACATCATGAGATTGATTTTTAATTTTTATTTTAGAATCAGTCTGAGTTAACAAGTTACTTATGTTTTATTCATGACCATAACATTAATTTTGTTCAGTAATGGTAGTCGTTGTTTAGCCTGATTCATCAGCCGGTTTTACTTCGTAGAAACTGACTGACCTTGCAGCACTAGGATTCGTTCACTCAATGGTAGGCAGGCACCTTTTTTCATTTAACCAATCGCTGATATTTGGTCGTGATGTATGTAATGCGCCGCTAACGGGGCTAACTGGTATATTAAGCTTTTCCCAAATCCTGTAGGAAGGAAGGACAATAACGTCTTTCCCCTTGAGAAAATTCACCAAACATTCTCTTTGTTCCAGCTTTAAATCCTCAATCTCGGGAATCATTGTGAACATAGAATGTATGGCTCTTCGCTGATTGGCTGGTGCCCGAACTCGCACTTCCAGGGGTTTTGCAAACCATCTAGTGCATTCCGATTCCTGACCTAGTCACTGGAGGGAAATTAAATTGAGCGGCGGCACTAGGTGGTGCCAGTCTGGCTCGTCGTTGTTCGCCTTTATGTTTTAATTTTTCTTACCTTGATAGTTGTGACCTTGTTGGTTGAAGATATGGTGATGGGGCAAATTTAAGAAGCTGATGGAAAATAAGTGAGACATTTCCACAGATATTTTGCCGTAGAAAGCATTAACCGGGAGTTACGTTTACCTACATCGCGGCACTTCCAGCCCGTGTGAAAAAAGTCTATGCCAAGTTTAGGTACGGGAATCTTTTTAAGGTTAGAAACAGGTTATGGTTAGAGGTTAAGGTTTCGGTTCAATTAAGTTTAGGGTTAGGAAAAGGGTTAAGGTTAGAGTTTGGTTAAATTTAGAAACAGGAACTGGTTAAGGTGTGGAAAATGGCGAATGTTAGGTTAGAAAATGTTTTGGGGTAGTTAACATGTTTTAAAGACACCTACTCTCTTTAGCTCAGCGTGTGCCTTAAAATAAAACCGTCAAACATTTTACATTTCAGGCCCGTTCATAGAAAGCTCACACGTTACCATGGCAACCGGGGCTACATGACGACTTGTGTCCCTCCGGACCCAACTATCCAGCTCTAACCTTTTCACACCAAGTCCCACTTAGAATAATATTGGCTTTTTGAGTAGCACCAGATCAAAACCAGGACTATAACAGACTTAAGGGAAGAACCAGGTCTAAAATGAAACCAAACCAGGGACAAGATCGTTCTAAATTATGTTGTAAGTAACGTTATAATTGTCTCTAAATTAAACAAATATTCAGACATACCACAGTTAGATAAACACTGGAGCTGGACCACAGAGCGTGAAAAATGCAGAAGACGTCTCCTTTCCAAACATTTAGAACAAAATATATATCTTGTTTTACCTGAAATAAGTAATAATTTGGTGATTCGATGGTTGATTCTGTAAAAATCTGCTCTGTTTCTCATTTCTTTAAGTTGACAGATAATGATTCATTTTCAGTTTTCAATTTTGTGTTTAAATGAGTAATGGAAAAAATGATAATGGCCAGGACAAAACCAGGACTAAACCAGGACTAAACCAGGACTAAACCAGGACTAAACCAGGTCTAAACCAGGTCTAAACCAGGTCTAAACCAGGACTAAACCAGGACTAAAGCAGGTCTAAACCAGGACTAAACCAGGATTAAACCAGGACTAAACCAGGACTAAACCAGGACTACATCAGGACTACACCAGGACTACACCAGGACTACACCAGGACTACATCAGGACTAAACCAGGACTACATCAGGACTAAACCAGGACTACACCAGGTCTAAACTAGGACTAAAGCAGGACTAAACCAGGATTAAAGCAGGTCTAAACCAGGACTAAACCAGGTCTAAACCAGGACTACATCAGGACTACACCAGGACTACACCAGGACTACACCAGGACTACATCAGGACTAAACCAGGACTACATCAGGACTACACCAGGACTACACCAGGACTAAACCAGGACTAAACCAGGACTAAAGCAGGACTAAACCAGGATTAAACCAGGACTAAACCAGGATTAAACCAGGATTAAAGCAGGACTAAACCAGGATTAAAGCAGGACTAAACCAGGATTAAAGCAGGTCTAAACCAGGACTAAACCAGGATTAAACCAGGACTAAACCAGGATTAAAGCAGGTCTAAACCAGGACTAAACCAGTTCTAAACCAGTTCTAAACCGGTTCTAAACCAGGTCTAAACCAGGACTAAACCAGGATTAAAGCAGGTCTAAACCAGGACTAAACCAAGTCTAAACCAGGACTAATCTTGAACTTGAGAGAGAGAATCATTCGTCATTCATTTTTTAAAATAAAACCAAAAATAAGAAAACAAGAAAAAAAACTATTTTCTTCATTATATTACCAAAATGAAAAAAAAAAAAAAAAAAAAAAAAAACAGATAATGATTCATTTTCAGTTTTCAATTTTGTGTTTAAATGAGTAATGGAAAAAAACTGATAATGGCCAGGACTAAACCAGGACTAAATGAAGTCTAAACCAGGACTAAATGAAGCCTAAACCAGGACTAAATGAAGCCTAAACCAGGACTAAACCAGGTCTAAACCAGGACTAAATGAAGTCTAAACCAGGACTAAATGAAGTCTAAACCAGGACTAAATGAAGTCTAAACCAGGACTAAATGAAGCTAAACCAGGACTAAACCAGGATTAAAGCAGGTCTAAACCAGGATTAAACCAGGACTAAACCAGGACTAAATGAAGCCTAAACCAGGACTAAACCAGGTCTAAACCAGGACTAAATGAAGCCTAAACCAGGACTAAACCAGGATTAAACCAGGACTATACCAAGTCTAATCTTGAACTTGAGAGAGAAAGAGAGAGAACCTTGGAGAAGAGTGGAGATTTTTCTCCTTTTTTACGTGTAAGCAACCATGTTTGTGAATGGAGCATGCTTCTCCCTGATCCCCCTGTCAATCACGCCCTCTGAAATCAGGATACGGCTCGAGATCCACTCATCTTTGTAAAGTTTTGTCAAAGCGTGTGGTTCTGTCTGTCCAGGTACATGAGACCCAAAATACAAACTTTTAAATGGGAAAGACCAAGTTTTCACACACCGTTTCCCTACAGGTGCTAAAAGATTAAAATAAAAATGCGCAAATGTCCAAAATTAATACAAATAACGCATAACATTTTCTTTTTCCAAGGTATTTTCTGTGTTGCCACATTTTCTGAGCGCAACAAGTGACTAAGCCTGTGAAAAAAAAACAACTAAAATAAGCGACCTCAGCCACGCACATATTTTTAAAAACATATTTAATATCAATAACTGCTTACAAACATAAACAGCCTGGATTTCAGTCTAGTATTTCGGTCTATTAACGCAAGACGGGACTGAAAAAAGGCAAAATAAATAACCATCTTTTGTATGAAGTGAAAGTGACTGAAGTTGTCAGATACAGAATGATAACTGTACTTTTACACGCAGGGATATCAGGCTGGTTACCACAATAAGAGTTGTTTATTTCGCATGTGACGCACGTGAAACAAATGGGTTTTGAGGACATTCAAACGATATAAAAGGATAATATTTTTGTGCATTGTTCATCGCTATGGCAACGATTATTTTTCATCATTCTGAAACCCATGGATATCACCTGAGAGTTTAATGCTTCACTCATCGATTCTGTAGAAATGTTTTTCAGGATATTTTCAGATATTTTTTTCCCACTTTCCTTTTTCCTCAAACGCAGCCGTAGTCGTCTTGAAATGGGTAAACCTGATTGGCTAATCCACCTGCCACACAAATCTGAACTATGTACACTAGAATAGGGCTGTGCAAAAATATTGAAATATCGATATATCGTATCATTTAATACAGTATCGATATCATACTGCAGTATTGATATAATCGCCATTTGGTATTTTCGTTGTTCTGATGATTAAAATGTTTGTGTTTCATACTAACTTTGCACAAGAAGTGGTTTAACAAAGACTTTTAGTATCGCAGCCATTTTTATTGAACCGTATCGAATCTATTTGACATTAATCGTATTGAAACGTATCGAATCAAAAGCTGACTGTATAGAGATATGTATCATATCGTGGCCTATGTATCAAGGTATGTATTGTATCGGCAACTTCTGAATGATACCCAGCCCTACTCTACATATTTACATGACCAGAAACACACGCTTTGACAAAATGTCTTTGATAAGATGAGTGGAACTGGAGACGTATTAAGTCTTCCTGGCGGATTAACCAATCAGAGAGACAAATGCTATGCCTGTGTGGCTGCTTACACATAAAAAAGGAGAAAAATCGACATAATGGACTGAGAAATTTTACAGAATCAACAATCAAAAGCACCAAACTATTACTGATCTCAGGTAAAAAGAAGTTATAGATTTAGTTTTGAAGCTTACGAGAATTTTGAAGAGGCGATGACGATACAAATTAGCGGCTGTAGTTGGATCGTCTCGAGTTTTTTCATGCTCTATTGTCCGGTTCCAGGCTCTTCTGGATCTAAACTGAATGCAGAAGTGACTGGCTGGTCAGGTAAGCGTTGTGTGGACCTTACCCCCTGTTCGTCCAGTTTCATGAGCTGATCCGTGACCTTGGGCGTGTTCAGAGCCAGACGGAGACAGTGCACGTTCAGCTCCGGCACCAGGTACTCCAGAACCTCCTTCAGGGGGAGCCCTCGAGCCAGGCCGTGTTTGGACGTGGAGGGGATGGCGTCTTCCAGGATGGAGCCTCGCAAGGTATTCAGCTAAGAAAAGGGAAAAAAAAGAAGTACAAATATTCTGATTTAGCAAGTGCAGTAGAAATACACACAAAACATACACCTACAGAAGTCATTCTAATATGTGTCCTAATATATCACACCTTTAAACAGATTTATAGTTACTCTGGATTTCTTTTCATACTATTTTAGCTTCATTCTGTTTTTAGTCACATGTTGGTTTATTGTTTTTATTATTTTAATTCAATTATGTTCTGTAGCAAAACATCCTGTTTTGTTATAAATAAAGTTGCAGTTGCAGTTACCTTGGACCTTTATGCAGTATACAGATTTTATACCTTCAACATTTTTAGTATTTTCATAATTATCTCTATTGTTTAGATTTATGCTTTTATTATTAAGGATTTTTTTTTTATTGTATAGTATTTTGAGCTTTGGTGTCAAAGTTATTTTCCTTGTGGGTCTATAAAGCTTGTTCAAAGTCTTACAACCAACTCTATTTGTACAATTTATTAAAGGTGTAGTATGAAAGTGGTGTGTGTGTGTGAGTGATGGTGGTGGTCGGAGGGACCGATGGCGCCGAGTGTCATGGCAGCCGCGCCTCTGTCAGTGTGCCCCAGGGCAGCTGTGGCTACAATAGTATCTTACCATCACCAGGTATAGAGTGAATGAATAATGCTGAATGATTAATGCTGAATAATGCTGTGTAAAGCGTCTTTGGGGACAGAAAATGTCTGTGAAAGCGCTATATAAATAAAGACTTACTTACTTGATAACCAAAATATCGTGATATCGTATCGTCAAAAGTCTCACAATAATATCGTGGACTGTCAGAATATATCGAATTACAAGTTCTTTTGCTTAAATGCATGGTTTATAGTAGCTACATCTTATAAACAATTCTTGGGATTATGACGGAAATAATTCACACCAAAATCTTGTCAAGGTATTTAAAAAAAATCTGATCTATGTTCTTCATCACAAACACACCTGGAGTTGTGTTTTGTCTCATTCACACATGTTTAACACACAAATTCTCTCAAACAGAAAACACTCTGTTCCACTTTGAGATGTCATATGGCATTACAGTGCTCCATTGTGTTTTTAAACTCCATACACCTGCACTAGAATCATTTGGACGAGTTCAGGCCTGGAATTGCAGATTTCTTGTAAACAGAAGGTAAAACTACCACTTCATGACATCACAAGGAGGAAGAAAACATTTGGAGCTTTGGAGATGTAGACTAACAATAATAAAGAGTTACTCAAACATGTGAATGAAACAAAACATAACTACAGATATGTTTTTGAGGAGGTAACAACAACCATCAATTTGTGTAATATTGAACCTTTTTCTACAGTTTTTTTTTTTTTTTTTTAAAGGTGAACTATGCAACTTTTTGGTTGGGGGTCTGTCACCCGCTTGTTTCTACGGAGATCAAATGAAACAGAAAACACACACCAAAGTTCTTGTAGAGGTGCAAATACAAGGAACAGCAAAATAAAAGTGAAAAAATCCATAGCACACTCAGAGCTTTTATTATTTTTAAATAACGTTTCGGCAAAAAAAAAAGCCTTCATCAGATCATTTTTCTCGCTTTGGAGCACAGTAAACAAAATGGTTGCCAGTTCAGCCAAAACTGACTCTCCCCAGATCTGACCTATAACTTGATTTGCTTTGGTCTCGACAAAGACAGAAGGTTTAATGTCACACTGTGGAACATTCCAGACAAAGCAAGAACATCCCCACGAAGAAAAGCAAAGACCCTCCACCAGAAAAGCTACACAACGCACCTTTTGAAGAAAATACAGAAACATTTCCATATTAACCATAAATACGTGTTTCAAGCGAGCACTCAAACTAATTGGCTTTACATGCGGCTTCAAACACAGTCGATTCCATAATGAGGAATAACAGAGTTCTTGTATTCATTGTTTGGTGTTGGAGGAGGCTCTCCAGTGGCTCTTGGTGTAATAGCTGCAGAACAGGCTCATTAACAAGTCTCAAAGTCACAATGTCCCCGCTAAGAATAGACTTATCAAACTACTTCCCGCTTGTACACAAAACAATATGCAGTAAATAGACTAGCTCAGCAAAAACCAATGAATGTTATTTATTTATTGCAGAAGAAGCCAAGGAAGAAGTTAAATTGCTCAAGAATGAATAATTGAAGGCAGATATGGCGTGACCTGAATATTGTCCGCCGGCTAATAGATAGATGGAGTTTTTGAGCGGACGAGTGGTTTTTAAAATTCACCTAGAAGCTTGTTTTCGTGCAGGTTAGGTACACTGGTTTTGGAGCAGGGTTGCCTAAAGTGAAAATAAGTCTGTTAGGATTTTTGAAGTGTGATCTATTGCTGAAGAAAATATATCTAATAAATGTCTGTTATTGTAAGAAGTGTCTATTTTCATTCAATTTTGCACTAAAAACGGTTGCAAAATGAAACCAATGTAGTCTACTTACTTAAAAACATAATAATTAAGACAAATTATAAGACAAATTAGTAGCAATAACCAACCAGGAATGATTGGTTATTACTAAAAAGTCACATTAACCCTTTAGGCGCCAGAGTTTTTTTCCCTAAAATGTTCGATTTTGACATTTTAGCCCTGGTTTAGTCCTGGTGTAACCCTGGTTCAGCCCCGGTTTAGTCCCGGTTTAGTCCCGGTTTAGTCCCGGTTTAGTCCGGGTTAAGCCCTGGTTAAGGACTTAATCACACCTGGTTCAGACCTGGTTCAGTCCGGCTTCAGTCCTGGTTAAACTCTGGTTAAACTCTGGTTAAACTCTGGTTAAACTCTGGTTAAACTCTGGTTAAACTCTGGTTAAACTCTGGTTAAACTCTGGTTTAGTCCTGGTTCATTCCTGGTGTAGCACTGGTTTAGCCCTGATTTAGTCCTGTTTAGTCCTGATTCAGTCATGGTTCCAGGTCTGAACCAGGATGAAAATAACACTAAACCAGGACTAAAACAGGTCTAAACCAGATTTGAACCAGGTCTGTTTAGGCCTGTTTTAGTCCTGGTTCAGTCCTGGTTCAGTCCTGGTTCAGTCCTGGTTCAGTCCTGGTTCAGTCCTGGTTCAGTCCTGGTTCAGTCCTGGTTCAGTCCTGGTTCAGTCCTGGTTCAGTCCTGGTTCAGACCTGGTTCAGACCTGGTTCAGACCTGGTTCAGACCTGGTTCAGTCCTGGTTCAGACCTGGTTCAGTCCTGGTTCAGACCTGGTTCAGACCTGGTTCAGACCTGGTTTAGTCCTGGTTTAGTCCTATTTTCATCCTGGTTCAGACCTTGTTTAACTTGAATGAAATTTGACACCGTATTTTGCAAAATAGGCCGTTTTTCAGAGCGGCATCTTGTCAACTTAAGTCGACAGCGGAGCACATATTAATCTTTTTTTTTTTTTATTATTATTATCACTGTGGTATCAGATTCAGTATTGAATACTGATCAAGTATTATAAATGTTAGTATCATGACAACACTAGTTCAGAACAGCGCAAACGTAACTAGATATTAGCAGCTGTCTCTTTGCGGTACTGCCCTTTGAGAATCATAACACACTAATGCTATGGTTTTGCAATCTCTGAAAATAGTAATTAAAGAGTGGAGAAGGGGGCAGTGTGGCGGGTCGTGCGTCATCTTTAGGGACCATTACTCACGGTGCTGCTCAGCGCTGCAGCTTATCCAGTCCAATCCTGAAAGCACTATTTTAGACCTGCCCACTGACTCAAAGATTAGAGCTGACGGAGAAGGGAGGAGGAAGAGATCTGGGTTTATGAGTAGTCCTATTAGTCCTAGTAGTAGTGCGTTTTAAAATGATAATTAAATAGAAATGAAACGAAAGACGAAAATTAAAAAATGAAAGAAAGAATAAATGGTCTATAAACATGTTCTGAAATGCATGGGATTCTTTTATTAGTTTATCGGTTATTTCAGTCTTTTCTCAAATGTTAAACTGCTGGAGTTGTTTAGAATGTAAACTCTGAACACAATTCTACTTTTTAACGCCTGAATCTATAAAGATGTACAGTGGTCCTTTGTTTATTGCGGGGTTATGTTCTAAAAATAACCTGCGATAGGTGAAATCTGTAAAGTAGTCAGCTTTATATCTGTTTTAAGGCTGTAAAACCCCTCACCACACACTTTATACACTTTTCTCAGACAGGACAACCTTTTTGCATCCTTCTTAAAACTTATAGCTGCTGTCGTCCTTTTGTTATTTTCCTCTTTATGTAATGAACCGAAGATTCATTTATTCCGTAATGCAGCATACAGGACCGCACTCGCCGATCAACCCGAGATTATATCAAACTTTTGTGCTGCATACACCACAGACTGAACCAAAACTAAACCAGGACTAACCCAGGACTAATCTAGGACTGATTCCAGGACTGAAGAGGAGGACTAAACCGGAACTGAAATAGGACTAAAACAGGACTAAAGAAGGACTAAACCAGAACTGAACCAGGACTCAATGTCAGGACGGGCTCGAAGGTGACCGCAGGAGAAAGGACCGGCTCAGCTCCGTACCTCAGGGAGGTAAACGCGGCCATAGCCCGATCGAGCTTTACAGACACCCTGCTGCGCAGGCTTGCGGTTCTGTCTCTTAAGTCCTGGTTTCAATAACTATTTGCGGGTACCTGACCCGGTGCAAGACTCTGCGACAGCGCATACCTTCTACCTTCCTTCAGTTTCAACTTTTTGTGCGATGGTTTGCATCTTCCTCTGCCTTTTGGGTGCAACCGCAGAATCCTTTGTTGGTGCAGAACGTTTCATCGACATTGTGGGTTTTGTTGGGGAGAAAACTTGCAAACATACAACACTTCAGAATCACACTGATAGAGACCGAACATTTATGTAAATTTGGCAGCTGAACACATTCTGTATTGTACAGCGCAGAAGAAAGGAGACAGGAGTCCCTTAGCAAAACTGCACACAAAAAAATCTGCGAAACAGCGAGACCACGAAAGGTGAACCGCGATATAGCAAGGGACAACTGTATCTAAAAAATGTTTTGTGTGTTTTTTTGCCTTTAAGTAGATTGTAAATTAAGTTGAGATTATTAATGTGACTATTGCAAAAAAAAATTATAATAATAGAAATTTGGGTATGTTACAAATTTGGAACAACTAGAAACAAGTGCTTGCCAAAGGTTCTTAGGAAGGTCCTGCATATGCACTAATCAGCATTGGGAGAACGCAGCCGCCATCTCGGACCTTCCACCATTCAAAAAAATAAAGTTTTGTTTTAAATTCTTATTCACGGCAAGAGTGAAACTTCTGTTCTAAAACATGTATAAACACAAGACAGAAAAAAGATCGAGGTTTAACTCCATTTCACAGCATGAATTAGATCTAAATATATCTGATGACATTTGCGTTTTTGATTCAGTTTTGATAATTATGCTGCATTTGAACAATATTTCTCGCAATTGTAATAAAATACTTCCTATAGTTGACAAAAGAAAACAAATATCTGATATTAAAGATTTGGGGAGTAACACATTTGAGACAGCACAATTGGCTTTAGCACCTCTTACAGTTTTAGTTGTATTAGTGCTTCTCTTTACATGAATGCAGTTCTTTTATAACTGAGCCAGTAGCAGAGCCGGTGGTATACATCTGACTCCCACACAGACCTCGCTGTAGCGTCAGTCAGTACAGCGAGTGCTCTGTATTATCACACGGTGAACTCAATTTATTGTGTTGAAAAGGTGTTAATAAAATGTGTTTTTCTCTGCATTTTGGATAAACATATAAGGTAGAGGTATTCGGTTTGAGACCTTACCACTACTTTCTACAATTTAACTTGCTTTTGTCCACAAACTGACCCTTAAATTATGTAAAAGCATGATAAATATTTACCACAAGTAGTTTAAAGAATTGGATTGAGGTGTGGAAGTAGCAGTACCTCGCTGGTCCTGAAGATGACCCTGTAGTTGTACTGCTGCCCGTGCTCCTTGTGCTCCTCCAGTTTCTCTCTGCGCAGACTCACCGCCACCGGCCCCAAGTTTTCATCCACACCCAGGTAGTTCCAGTGCTCTACAAAGAAAAACAAGACCGGAATTAGTCTAGTTAAACTCATTTATTTTTAAGAGAATGGATGTCAGCAAGTCAGTACCTATGAAGAGTCCTATATTATGCAAAATGGACACATCATGGAGCTTTCAATCATGTTATAATGTTGTTACCCCCTCAAAAACACACCCAGAGTTGTGTTTTGTTTCATTCACATATGTTAGAATAACCTTTTATTTTTAGTCTGGCTCAAAAAGCTCTGTTCCACCTCGTGATGTCATATAATGGTATTTTTTAAGATACCATTTACCTTTTGCTTAGCAGCGATGTAGCCAGGCTGGCACCACCTAGTGCACAGGTGTCAAACATACGGCCCGGGGGCCAGATCCGGCCCTCCAAGAGCTTTAATCTGGCCCTCGGCTGATTTTCTACTCAAATATTTTAATTATATTTTCTATTAAAATATTGGTAATTTGGTCTCCAGCGTCTCTGTACGTGGCCCCTCCCACCAGAGCAGCACAAAAGAAGACTTGTCTCTTTCCAAACGCTCTTAAAGGACGATCGTTTTGACTGTTGACCGTGACACCTTCATCAGAAAAATTTCCAACATGAAAAAAGTGGAGCCAAGTGCAGGATTTTACAACAAAAATGGACTTATTCCTGTTTACATACAAGTTCATGTTAAAACCTTGTGTTGAAATTGTATTTTTCTTAAAGTTTCAGGTTGTTCATAATATTATAATATTTTTTAAAAGAAAGAGTTCATCAATTAAAAAAGATTTCTGTAATAGATTTGTGTTTCTCTGCACAAATATTTGAACTTATTGTTATTTTTGGGGTTTATATGACATGAGTTTTCTGATCCGGCCCCTTGGGGATCAAAATAGGTTGGATACGGCCCCTGGAACAAAATGAGTTTGACACCCCTGACCTAGTGCCTCCGCTCAATTTCATTTCTCCCCAACGACTAGGGTCAGGAATCGGAATACACTAGATGGTTCGCAAAAACCCCGAAAGTGCGAGTTCAAGCACAAGCCAATCATCGGAGAGCCATACATTCTGTGTTGGCAACAATTCCCGAGATCGAGGATTTAAAGCCGAAACAAAGAGAATGTTTGATGAATTTTATCAAGGGGAAAGACGTTATTTCCCTTCTTCCTACAGGATTTGGGAAAAGCTTAATATACCAGTTAGCCCCGTTAGAGGAGCATTACATATATCACGATCAAATAGCAGTGATTGATTAAATTTAAAAAAGTACCCGCCTAATGTCGAGCAAACGAATCCTACTGTTGCGAGGTCAGACGGTTTCCACGAAGTGAAACCGGCTGATGAATCAGGCTAGCAGAGATGGGTAAATATTCTGAAATTATCCAAATCATTGTAGTGAACCTGTATGCAGTTTAAAAACACAGAGGGGCACTTCCTGTATTACCACATGACATCACAAGGTGGAACAGAGAGTTTTCTGTTTGAGACAAGAACTCAAATGTAGAAGAATAAGCAGGGTTTGTGTGTTAAATGTGTGTATGAAACAAATCACAACACTGGGTATGTTTTCGAGGAAGAAATAACATTTTAACATAGATCAGAAAAGAGTGTAACATGTGCCCTTTAATAAAAGCCCACAAATGGTTCAACTATTAAACTGAAATGCTTGGTACACCCTCATTTTTCCTGTTATTTTTTGCAATTCACGTCGTGCAAGTCCAATGAAGAGCTTGAAATGGTACAAAGGTAAGAACTGAACACACAGAGGTTAAAAAAGATAAAAGATACAAAACACAAGTCCAAGCGAGGTCAGGAAAAAAGAACAAAACACACACATTTATGGGAGCTTCTGCAACAGACTTGGGAAGAACTTTCTGAAGAATATTTGATTTCTGTTGTGAAAAGAACAAGTCACGAGTGTGTTCAGCTGTTCTATCTGCCAAAGGTGGACACTTTCATCAATCGAAAAGTTTATAAATGTATAAATATGTTTTTAGGAATGTGCTTTACTATTAAACTTGTATCTAGATGTATAAACGGTATAGTTAATGTGTTAGTGAAGACCATGAAGCTGCACACACATCGAATACAAAAGCAAACATTGTTGCTTGGATTCAAGGACAGGACTGTGAGTTCCTGGGGCCCTGCTGTTGAATGGGAGCTCACGAAGATAACGCTCTGCTGACCAGAAGATCCTCCTTCACACACACGCACTGATAAACACTATAACAACTGTAAACACACGTATCTGAGGTCTCTCCCACTCTTCTGTTTCGTAGTTTACTTTTGCCTAGAGACTCAATAAATGCTTCTTTACATTTCAGACTCATGATTCCCATCTGCAGTGTTTTCATCAGTAGAAAAATCTGTTTACTTTCTGGGTTAAAGCTGTGTCAACAATGTCCGTCAAGCCTCAATAACTCAAATTAGTTGTTTAAAATACACAAATCAGGTAGCCAGGAAAAATCTTAAAAAAAGGAGTTGTGTTTCCAATTAAAGTGTTTTTACGCACACAAGCTCATGCCTTCCAACTGTCAGGAAACGCAGATAATCCGTCTATCATTTGTTCATTTGTTTTTCAAAATAAAACAAAAAATAAGAAAAAAAAAAAAACAGTTTTCTTCTTATTTGTTTCCAAAACCAAAATGAAAAAAACAGATAAAGATTTGTTTTTTCAGTTTTGGATTTTGTGTTTAAATGAATAATGGAAAAAACGGATAACAGCTGTTTCCTGTTTCCATGACTTCCGAACTTGCACTGGACTCAAGACTAAACCAGGACTAAACAGTTTTCAGTCCTGGTCTGGTCCAAGTCTCAATCACAGTCTAGTCTTGGGCTGGTCCCGGTCTCAATCCTGGTCTCAGTCCTGGTCCTGTTCACCGTCTCAGTCAGTCCCAGTTTCAATCACAGTCTGGTCCTGTTCCCGGTCGCAGTCCCGGTCGCAGTCCGGTCGCAGTCCCGGTCGCAGTCCCGTCTCAGTCCCGTCAGTCCCGGTCGCAGTCCCCGTCTCAGTCCCCGTCTCAGTCCCCGTCTCAGTCCCCGTCTCAGTCCCCGTCTCAGTCCCCGTCCTGTTCACCATCTCAGTTCTGGTCTGATCCCGGTCTCAGTCCGGTCTCAGTCCGGTCTCAGTCCGTCTCAGTCCGGTCTCAGTCCGTCGGTCTCAGTCCGGTCTCAGTCCGGTCTCAGTCCCGGTCTCAGTCCCCGGTCTCAGTCCCGGTCTCAGTCCCGGTCTCAGTCCCGGTCTCAGTCCCGGTCCTGTCCACCCTCTCAGTTCTGGTCTGATCCTGGACTCAGTCCTGGTCTCAGTCCCAGTTTCAATCACAGTCCGGTCCTGGTCATGTTCCCGGTCTCAGTCCTCGTGTCAGTCCTCATCTCAGTCCCGGTTTCAGTCCCAGTCTCAGTCCCCAACCTGGTTTAGCCCTGGTTTAGTTCTGGTTCAGTCCGTATGCGGCACAAAAGTCACAGAAGTCATGGAAACGGGAAACAGTCATTATCCATTTTTTCCATTATTCATTTAAACACAAAATCGAAACCCAAATCGTTATCCGTTTCATTTTGGTCTAGGAAACAAATAATGAAGAAAATAGCTGTTTTTTAGTTTTCTTATTTTTGGTTTTATATTGAAAAACAATAAACTAATGATACACGGATTGCAGATGTCAGTCAAATTGAAACAATGCTAAGGAGCTATTTTAAATCTTTGTTGACAGATTTATTTTTGGTTAAGACTTCTATAGCGTCTACAAAACTGATTTATTATATTTCTATAGCTCAGCATTTCAACATCAAAACTTTCCACACTACTCACCTCGCAGGTAAAAGTACTTCCTGTAGTAGTACGCCCCCAGGTCCACATGCTCCACGATGTATCTCTTGGAGCGGTCCGTGTGCAGCCCCGGGCCTTCCTTGGGGGCCTCCAGCACGGCGACGCCTGCGTTGGTGAAGTGAGACGAGAGGGTGGCATCCAGGGGCCCCTCCTCTGTGCTGCCCGAAGAACTGCTGCTGCCACTGCCCCCGCTGCCAATGCTGCCCTGCTGAGAGAGCCAAGGTGTAAAAGTAGTACAATATTCACTTGTCTCTATGGAAAACTCAAGAACAACAACTCTTTAGTGAATGGACATCTACCGTAAAATCTGGACTATAGAGCGCACCTGAATATAAGAGGCATCAACAAATTTTTTTAATTGTACATATATAGGCTGCACCTGAATATAAGTCACAAGTGTCCACGTCTTCAAGAACGTTTTCAAGTTCGGGCCGTCTGCTTTTATCGCGTCTGAAAGCTTTTGTCGTCTTTTTGCACTGAGTCAGTTCATCACGCTGCCGTCGCCAAAATCTCACCATCGACTCACTGATGCCGAGCTCATGTGCAGCAGCTCGGTTTCCTTTTTTCAACAGCCATATTATCTTTATCTTAAAAGCTGCGTCATCTGCATTTCTTCGTGTGTTTTCCATGAGAAGGGTGTGTGTATGAAGCGGAAAATAACAGTTTAAAAAAACAAACCAGCATCTTCCTCAGCGCATCACCCTCGTCTCTCCCCATGCTCTACTGCTGCTACTGCGCATGTCTCCTGCAGAAAGAGCCTCTGTCCTGTCTGTATCATGTCAGTGTCTTGGAGGATTTCAGCAGATTTCAGACTCTCTTGGGGGCGGGGCTAGTTCTATCAATCAGGTACGAGTGGATGCCCGGCTACTGAAGTTTGAGACGTTTCTTCTCGTCATTTACGCGTACGGGTAAGACGTATCCCCCTCACTAATGTTCATTTAGCATCATAACTTATTTTACAACACAACGATAAACAATTTAAGTGCGCTGACAATATCACGAGCGAATGTTGCAACTTCATGTTAACCCTAGATTCCTAGATATTCTGCACTCAGGATGCGTGCAGATCCGAGGTGTTACCATAGACCGTGTATATGAATGGAAAATGTGCCAAACAAAGAATCCGTCCATATATTCACCGCATCGTTTTATTAGCCGCAGGGTTCAAAGTGTGAGAAAAAAGTAGCGGCTTATAATCCAGAATTTACGGTAAATAAAATAAAGTACAGTTCATTTGTCAAGTCAGCTGGACAATATGAGTACTACTTCTAATAGTAATGGTTCATCAGTCTTGGTCGTAATGGTAATCTGTAACTATAGCCACAGCTGCCCTGGGACTGACTTATCGCAGCAGCTTCTTCCACAACCACCAACCCCAGAACACTTAAAGGTTGTATGGAGGATTTTTTTTTAGTTTCCAACTGTCAGTGAAAGATTAAAATACCATTACAGAGACGCAGCAGCTTTGTAATTATGATGACCAAAAAAAAAGAATGAAAATCTATCAACTGTGGATGTAGTGAGGCCAGATAAACATCAGCCAATAGAAAACGAGGCTCCCTCATTTTCTATTGGCTGTTAGGTTGTCAATCAAACTCTCTAGTGTAACTGACTCGTCGGAGCGCGGGGATTATGTGGTTTACGCGGCGGTTCTTAGAGGCATTTTCGAACTGTCGCTTCCTCGCATTTCGCACAAAGTTTGTCGCGACGGCGGACGAGAATCCACGACCGGTTCGCCGCAAAAGAAAGTCGGTTTTTGAGGTCGCTGAAAGAAGAAGAGAAGAGGAAAAGGAGCAAAGACAAACTGAGGTGATTCTTGGAGATCTCGTCCAGCGATGGCGCGACCGAAGCAGACGAAGGGTCTAAAAACTGACGCGTCGGTCGCTGAATTACTTCTAGACAGGAAACTTCAACAGTAATTCTGAATGACAATCACAACGACTGTCGCTGTATTTCTCTTCCCTTAAAAAAATCCTCTATACAACCTTTAAAGAGAGAGAAGAAGTGAGAGAAAGAGCAAGAGAGCAAGCGAGCAAGAGAGACACTTTATTGATCCTGAGGGAAATTCACGTTTAGCTGGAGCAAAAGGCTCTGTACCTGATTTTTAACCATGACTGAGGAACATGTAGTTCAGTTTGAAATGTTAGCTCTGCCCACTTAGTCCTTTCTGTCAGCCTAATGTTGCACCATGAAAGCTTCTCCAAAGTTCTCATTCAAAAACATGCCTAATTGGAGAAAATTGGGAGTCAGACCTGGCAGTTTTTAATATGAAAGTAAAAGTCTCAAAATGAAATAAAAGTCCGATATAGGGCTTATAATGTAAACAGCACACTTGAGTGAAAGCCTAGGCCTTTTCGGTCTGTGTATGTTAAATATGACTGTCTGTGAATTAATGTCAAAATATACCTGTGACCGAAATAAATAAAAATAAATAAATAAAGGTCATGCTCAAAGACACAACGGTATGCAAAACCAGGAAAGGGAACAGAACATTCTGACCATTACCGGTGACTGACTGAGCTGCCTGTAACACAGTAACTAAAGAGCAATACTTGAATTTGCAATTACTTCTTATTTTCTTAACAAATTGATATTGTTTACATCGAATACCCAACCCTGAACAGTAATGAGCACATGGCAAAACCCTATGATGAATCTCTACACCAGCACTATGAGGCTTAATATTATGTTATTAGGTTCTTTTTTTCAGACCAAGAGTTTGTTTTCATACCTGTCAATTTCGACTGCGCCCTAGTGGTCACGTGATGTTGCTGTGACGTGTCCTCTCAGCTGATTTAAAACAGGTTTTGCCGCTGTCTTCCTAACGGTGGAGGCAGGACGACAGCGCCATCCGCAGTCCGACTTCCTCAGGACAGTATCCCAGGTGTGTGAGAGTAAAAAAGCCCCCTCGTCCCGGTTTATAGTCCCGTGGGCACGTTTATCAACACACCAGTGAAACCGTACAGAAAACTCAGGCAATTACTCATCCACCCAAAAGACAAAACAGAACCGGAGCATAAATGTAATGTCATATACGAAATACCTACACGTCTTGCAATAAAACACACATCGGGGAAACAGGGAGGGCGTTCAGTACACGAAAAAAGGAATATAGAACAGAAGAAGGAAACAGCGAAGACAAAACACGAGCAACAAAACGCAAAGCAGGACAGGAACAACTCAAATCGGCCATCTTTGACCACTGTAATAGCGAGAACCACATTTTGGGCTGGGACGGAGCAAACATCTTTGGGACAGAGGAAAACAAACACCGTCGCTGGATTAAAGAGGCAATCGAAATACGAAAACATGCCCACGGGACGATAAACCAGGATGAGGGGGCTTTTTTACTCTCACACACCTGGGATACTGTCCTGAGGAAGTCGGACTGCGGATTGCGTTGTCGTCCTGCCTCCACCGTTAGGAAGACGGCGCCAAAACCTGTTTAAATCAGCTGACCCAACATGTCACGGCAATATCACGTGACTCTGAGTAAGACTAAGAAGCTAGTGAGTAGTCGAAACTGTCAGGTATGAAAACAAACTCTTGGTCTGAAAAAATAACCTAATAACATAAAATATCAGAAGACCAAATGAACCTCACTGGACGATGAGGGTTAATAGTTAATACAGTAGTTACCTGTTTGGCAGGTGCTATACTCCTCTCCCCTTCTCCTCCGATCTCATTCCTAAAACAGGGGCAGCTCAGGACCAGCTCGTTGCTCTTGTCGTCCCCCGGGTCCAGCGCTGGGTTAGTCCCGTGTCCCGATCCGTCCTTCGTGTTTAGCTCCTCTTGAGATCCGCATGGAGACCCGTACGCTCCGCTCTGATTGGACGAGAGCGAGGAAGTGGCCGAGGCGGATGCGGCAGCAGCGGCCGACGCCCCCGTGGTCGTGTTTTTACGCTTGGACCCGCACTGTCTGCTTTGCACGGCTTCATTTAGATCGAAGAGCAAAGACTGGACATCAAAATGGGCGAAACCCTTCTGGCACACCCACGGTTTGGGAGGGGGCGCGCTCTCGTCGGTTTTCCCTCCGTCCTCGGCGTCCGAACCCGCTCTGGACGTATCGCCTTCCACTTTGACGCTACGCAGTTTACGAAATATAGACTCACTCCCTGCCTCCGATTTAGACCTTCTTTTCAACTGCTTCTCTCTTTCCTTCAGTCGACTCGCTGGACTCCCTTTGACTATCGGTCCATCGGGTAGATCCAAAGCCGCTTGCTTGATCGGAGCGACTGTTAGCAATTCCGAAAGCCTCTCTGGAGCTGGACTTCTCTGATCTGGCGCCTCAGCAGACTGGTAGCCTTTTAGCATGTCGAAAAAACTCTCTCCGGACACCCCATGTTTGTCTATGGACGACGTGCTTCCGTATTCGCGATGCATCGGAGTCCAGCCTGAGAACGACCAGCCCTCGTTATCCCCGTCCAACTCGCTGATGGTGATGTCGCTGTTGCTTCGCTGCCGGATCCGCCGCATGCCCTTCCGCGGCGATCCCAGGTAACCATCCGGGGACAGGAAGCGGTTGTCTTTGCCTTTGCTTTGCATCTTGTTCTTGAGCGTGTTTTGAATGTTGCGCAGCATTGAAGAGTCTTGCGGGCTGATGAGGTGGCCAAGCTTGGCGGACAGGTTAGTATGGGATGTAACGGTGGATACGTTACCGCCACCGCCGCCGCCGCCGCCGCTACCCCCGCTACCTCCTCCTCTCTCCGATCGCTCGCTTCTCTCAGATCGTTCGCTCCTTTCCGATCGCTCGCTCCTTTCCGATCCCATAATCCTCTCGCGATCCCCGCTTCCAGAACCAGAAGACGAAGTCGTGGTTGAACTGGGCGAATCGGTTTCCACGGTGATATGCCAAACCCCGCCGCTCCCTCCGTCTTTCCTGGGCGGCCAGTCAGCGACCCGAGCGCGCACGCCCATTTTGGGAACGCCGGGGTTGGTGCCGGTGTTGGAGGAGGAGATGTGGGCGCTCTCGCTGCGGGGCGGGGGGGCTCCTCCGTTGGGCAGGCGCAAGCGGCGGGTGTAGAATTCGTCGGAGGCCGGTACGGAGCCCCCGACCGAGCGCTCCGTCTGGGAACGCTTGAGGCTGGTCATGGCGGTGGGACAGGATGGGGGGCCAGGGAGGGACACTGGGCGAGGGTGGAGGGTCGGAGGGTTTCAAAATAAGGTCAACATATTTCCCACAGCATGCAGGGATGGGGCGGCCTCATTGACACGTTGGGAGCTGCAAAACAAAAGCAAAATATAAGTTGGGCGGTTTGACATCAATGCATAACTATGACAGATTTGTTAACTAATGATGGATGGCAAAACCTGGAATTTTTAATAGAGTAAGTCATCCATCATTACATTTCTCTTGTGTGTTAAAGCCACAGTATGCAACTTTGTTTTGCAAAAAAATAAAAGCATGTTGTTTTTTTTTTCATTTGGTTGTTGTTATTGAACTGAAAAATGTAGAAAAACACACATCCGAACTCTGAGAGGGCTTGCATCTCCACAAACCTGACTTTTTTTTTTTTTTTTGGACCTTTCGCTTGTTTCTATGGGAATGTTGTTCCTTTGCTATTCATCTATCTCTCTCCATGGAAAATGGTCCGAAGTTTCATTTCCATGGAATAATGTAGGTAAGGTTGTGCAATTAATTGAATTTTGATCACGATTTTGATTTGTGTGTTAAACGATCTCCAAACTCATATAATCAAGTTGAAAGGATTATATGAGGCTATTTGCATTTAAACAAGCTTAACAGAGTTTATTTTGGGATATTGTTTATATAAATAAGTACAGCTGGACATATAGTTTATTTTGGATTAATTTATGTTTTTCTATGCCTTATTTCATGTTCAAAGCATATTTTATTCATTTTATGTTTTATACACTGCAAAACTGCAATAAGGTAAACATTTGTAGCCTATTTATTTTCAATTTGAAAGTTTTGTGTAAATTATGAATAAAAAAGTGTTGTTTTTTGAGAGGAAAATGCTGAATAAATGCACGGTGTAACTGTGCACTGTAAAAACTAACCGTTTGATTAATCATGATTTCAATATTGACCAAAATAATCAAGATGAGCCCTAAATGTAGGTGACATGCCATTTTCAGAAAGTTACATACTGTGTCTTTACATTTTGTAGTTATTTTTTACAGAATGTGTTTTATAAAGACAAGTTAATCTAGAAATGCTAAATTTTACTACAACTTTTGTGCCCCTCATAACGTTTGGACAACAGTAGAGCCCAAAATGAGGGACTGAAGATGTCGTGTCTACAAGATCAACTATTTTAATTGATGGTAGCTATACAAAATTTGAATATAAAAACATAAAATTGTCAAAAAGTTGCAAAAACACTAAGAAGACACTAAAACAGCCACATTCCAAACAAAGGTATATGGTGATTTTTTGACAACTGTCCTGTCCATTCACTTCTGTGCGATACTTAAACCGCAGTTATGAAAAAAATACTGTACTTGAGACAATCAAAAAATATTTTCTACCTTTTTTTCTGTCTTTTATACCTCCCACCCATAGTCTAAATGCAATAATTTCACTACGAAACCAAGCAGTTTACGTTCCACTTTTCTCCTATAATTAAAGAAACTACAATATAACTCACCTTGACCAGAGTTTTCAATGCTGATGCTGAACTCGAGTCAGTGCTTGTCAGAGCGCTGGCGGGCTGCTCATCTCAGCACTGCATCTGAAAAACACAGAGACAAAAGAAAACCCATTTAACACTTAGCAAAAAAATTAATGTCACTTTTACAATGGTTAAAAGGCTCCAGGTTTTCAAAAGGGATTGTGAAAAGCGCACTGGTGAGATGGTCGGCGGCAGCTCAACCTTCGCTCAGACCGCACTCACGTCTCCATGGCGATGGGTTTGAACGAGTGAGAGTGGGAGGGGAGAGAGAAAATCAAGCTTCCTTTACAACCGTCAGGCTCTTCAGTTGGATGCACTGTCACTATTAAAATGAAGAAAATGTGTAATGAAGGCACGAGAGATGTGTCCTAAATAAGGTGTTCAAAAGTATTGAAAATCTGATCCTAATCGATACTAAAACTGGTATCCAAACTACTAATTTGATTAATGAAAAGACACATTCGCAGGACAGAAATGAACCTTTCCTGAATAGCGTTAGGCTACGTCCTCATGGCAACGCTCCTGGATTATTTGTTTTGTGGGTTGGAAAAAATTTCCTTCCACACACGTGTCGGATCAATAAATATTCACGTCCAGACGACAACGAAGCACTGAGAAACGATGAGATGTTCAGACTGCAGGGCTTAACTCTCGACATTTGACGACCCCCTGAACCCTTAATGACGACTTTTGACACCTCCGCTGTATCACTAAAGACGTGATTTGACGACCTTTAGAACTGGCTCGGTTTTTCACATTTAAACAGAGACCGCGATAGGTAGGGGCCACTACAACCCACACCAGGCTGACCAATAGGATTCAAGGATATGTTTTCGCCGATTTTTTTCCGAAGTTAATCGAAATAGTGACGATTGTAGCTTCCGGAAAAAACACAACACGAAACACGTGCAATGGAAAGATCGCGCTGCGGTGCACAGTTTTAGAAATAATGAGGAGCGAACGTATTTTATGGATAAGTTTAGAGAAAGTGACTTTTATAGATTTCAAAGTGATGATGAGGGTGATTATAATGTGGAAAACAGCGATAGCGACGGACTTACAGAGAGTGAATCTTACGAAGGTGAGAATGCCGCTGATGCGTCTGTGTGGAGTCCTGCGATATCCGAACAAACTATCCGGGCTTTATACTCGATTATGAACCAAAATTGCCCTGAAATCACTCGTGGAAGTCTGTTTTCTTTTATGCAATTATGCTCTATGGGCAGCCCTAGTAACATATGTATGGGTTGTTCCTAGTAGGCGTCCAGGGGGGAAAGAGTTAATGCTCAATTTGGAGTGTTTTGTGAAATCTGATTTTTTTGTGAGGTTGTTCACATTTCCAATTAAATGTGACTTGTATGTGATCTCCAGTGTGAACTTTAAACGCCCCAAAAGTGTCCTGCATGCGCATTAGAGGACATGACGACGTAAACATGCAGCAAGCGTGCTCAGTGTTCACGGATGTCGTCTAAACGCTGGGCTTGTCTCCCAAAATACGGTCCAGTTCTTCGTAAAATGGACAGGTAACACGTCCACGACTGCTTCGTTTATTTGAGTCTTTAGCCTCCTTGTATTTGGCTCACAGGCTCTTTATTTTTTGTTGACACTGGAGCCAGGACCGTCTGTAGCCGCACTCGACCACTTATCATTATCATTTAAAAAAAACGCCCTGTTCCGATTAAGACCCCTCCAATTTGGCTTCAATGCAGCAAATAACCAAAATATCGTGATATCGTATTGACAAAGTTCTCACAATAATATCGTGGACCATCACAATATATCGAATTACAAGTCTCTTTGCTTAAATTAAGAGTTTTGGTGCAGCAATAGCTTAAAAAAAGACAGAGAACTACATAGACCATGATCCTTTGCTCCATTTCAATGCAAACTACATGAAGAAATAACAGTTCTAAGCACTTTTAAGTCTTCTTTCTGTCAAGCCATTTTAAGAGGAAAAAGTATCATATTACAGCTCTGTTAGTCTCCACAAAATATTGCAATAAATATCGTACCGTGAGACGTATATCGTGAAAATATCGTACAAAGACATTTGGATATTGTTACATCCCTAACCTTGAGCCTCGCCGCCATATCGTGAGCTTTCCCACGATATCGCAAAAAATATCGTACCGTGAGGTTCACACCGTGATAATATCGTATCATGAGACTTGGATATCGTTACACCCCTGTTAATTAACTCACTAATTCGCTTTCCCTCCATGGTCTGGACTCGGAGCCTGACGTGTAGGTGGGATGAATGCGGCCTGACCGTTCAGACTGAAGTCGCACGTCAAAAGATCGGATATGTATCGGTTTTAGGAGCACATATCCGAGTGGCCTGGGTCGCATTTGAAAAAAAATCGGATCTGTGTCGTTCAGACTGTCATTAAAAGATCAAATACAGGTCGGATAGAAGCGGAAAAATTGGATTTGGGTCACTTCAGGCTGCAGTCTGAACGTAACCTTAGATATACTAAAATGCGTAGCTCTCTGGCAGTTTGTTTTATAAAAGTAGCTCTTTGGAGGAAAAGCGTTGGAGATATTCTGCGATAGTCTATACTGTGTTGCTTTCTAAAGGTATCCAGGTGATACGCAAAGCAGCTGAGATGGCATCACCACGCTACGGGCTAATATTATTTATTCATGCGGTGTTCAGAAGGCTTTTAGACACATGTTGTCCTTGTTCTGTTCGCAGGATCACAGCGCTGTGGCCAGGTGTTTGTGGGTGCTGATCTGTGTCCGAAGGAGGTTTCCATCTGATCCGTTTGTTTTGATGTGGAGGAGAGGATACAGGATTATTCCTAACGCAGTGACTGTTCAGGCCAGACGGCAAAGTGAAAAAACAAGAGAATTTAATTTGGACAAAAGCCACAAACTCCACAAAGCGAAGAGGGAAAAACTGTCAATATCATTTACATAACTAAGAGCTCAACTAAAAAGCTCATAAAACAGGAGACGCAATTACAGACTGTGCGGAAGAAGTTGGGTAAAATGGAAAATTAAACCGGGAGAGAGACAGAAACAGAAAGACGGAGAGAGAAAGACTTTATTGATCCTGGGGGAAATTCGGGTTTAGCTGCAGCAACGTACTGCGCCTCTCTGTTTAGGTGTTTGATTTTCAACAAAAACGTGAGAGTGACTGACAGGCCGATACCGATACTTGGCCTCAGTGTACTCGCCGATACCGATACCAGTCTGATCTGATACTCATACAGAAGAAGACAACTTACCCTACTCAATTTTGTTACAGTACAACAGCAAAAAATGAAAGATTATCTCTAAAAACTAAATCTGTAACACTTTATTTTACGGTACACTTATTAATATCTAACTACCCTCTAATTTGAGTATTTGTAGATGGTTAATTTGTCATTAATTAGTGATTATTCAGCCTTTATTAAAGTCTAATTCTCCATTCTGCTGTTAGTTTGACATTTACACACACATTTTTTTTATTAATACACTTCTTATTACTGCTTATTAGTCTGATACTAGGCCATTTTTGTCCATAAATTATGATTCTAATAAGCTTTTGGTAATAAGCGTGTTGTTAAGGACTAGTTGCACAAGAAATGTAGTTTTTACTTATTTGCACTTAATAATTTTAGCTTACTCTTATGTAATAAAACACTCTCTAGTAGGTGTTAATAGAGTCCAACTAGCCTGGAATTAAGTAAGATACATTTATTAAGTGCAAATAAGTAAACACATTTCATATTTTAAAAGTCACAAACCTTCACAAAGTCAACAGATATTATTCATAAATCTGAGCTTTATTTGACCATTATTGAACATTAATGAGGATATTTTATTGTTGACTGTAGTATTACTCAAGTTTTAAACAATGAAAAACAGAAACTGGTCCTTTTTTCTTTTCAACATTCAACTGAACCAGCAATATTGGAACAAAATATTGCAGACCTACATGCAGATCGTGACAAAGGGAACCAAAAAAATAATAATCTCTGCGAAACAGCGCAATAAATGCAACATAGATAAGTTTAAAGCCATACTGCAGAACTTTCCAGGTAAAACAATAACTTTTCCAGAAGAAGGAAGTGACCATCCCTCTACAAAATTACAAAATAATTCACTTCATTCACAAATTTTACTACACCTTTAACTGGTTTTGTATTAGAAAATGGAGAAGACCCAGAACACGCTGGAGGGAATATGTCTCTGGCCTGGGAACGCCTTGGGTCCCCCCCAGAGAAGGTGGAGAAAGTGTCCGGGGTGAAGGAAGTCTGGGAGTCCCTGCTGAGACTGCTGTCCCCGTAACCCGGCCCCAAATAAGAGGAAGAAAATGAATGGATCGGTAATAGAAAGTTATCATTTTTTAGTATTTTGAGCAACTGTTCGAGTTGGTCAATAAATTTTGCATTATTTTTAAAACACTACTGAAATTTTAAGAATATTTGTCACGATAATTACTATATCAACTTGCTATTGATATTTTTGAGGGTCAAAATTTATCATCTGTACATTTTCTTTGCATTTTTACCTCCGCCAAGGAGGTTATGTTTTTGCCCGCGTTTGTTTGTTTGTTTGTTTATTTGTCTGTTAGCAAAATAACTCAAAAAGTTATGGACCGATTTTGATGAAATTTTCAGGATTTGTTGGAAATGTGAAAAGGAAGAACTGATTTCATTTTGGGGGTGATCCGGAAGAAATCCTGGATTCTGGATCACTTTGAAATTTTAGTGGTTTATTGTGGTAAAAGGGGCCAAAAATTTTGTTTCTCAATATCTCGGTTAATTATTGACCAAACCCCATGAAATTTGACTCAGGGATGGACAGTGGGATCCTCTTTCATATTCCAAAGGCTGATCCGGATCTGATCCAGAAGACTGATTTTATTGCAATTTATATAAAAAATGGGGGTAGTCCTTGGCGGAGGTCTGCGCTCTCTGAGTGCTTTTCTAGTTGTTAATGTTTTTGGCAATATGCAAAGAGTTAACACTTCCATTCTATCATTCTATCATTTATTTATTGCAGCTCTTGATTTTTTAACAGTATTGTAGATTTTTGTGGTTTAAATGCTCTTGAGTTTTTGTGTCAGT